GAACCTGATTAACATGACATAAACAATTTAGCAGACATGACGGGATGTTACAAAATGTTAACAAAATATAGTAAGGTTGGTCTATTACATTGTATTCTGTATATTGCTATGGTGTATTTCTAAGGACACTTTATATAGATATACAGTATAAACTGTTTACATGTATATATTTACCAACCAACTATGTGCCATATGTGCAATATATACCTGGCTGCTAAATCCTAAGAACTGTTACAGGATGTGTATTTTGTAAATTGTGTAATTTTTTATTATATTATAATTATTTATTTTTTACTGTAATACTTGTTTAATGTATGTAACATATGTAACATTAAGCTGTCTGTGTCTCTTTTTCTGCTGTAACAACGTACATTTCCCCTCTGTGGGACTAATAAAGGTATTCTGATTCTGATTTACAGTTTATTTTTATTTTATTGAAGTTTTAAGTTGTCTTGTTAACATGCTGCTGTAAAAAAACAATTTCCCACTTTGCGATCAATGAAGTATATCCAATCCAATCCAAGCTATTCACTCATTGACTCGACATCTCAAACGATTTTAGAAAATAAGCCCAAGGAAATGTGTTAAAAAATAAAAGCCTACCAATATAAAATCACATGGTCTTAAATTATGTCAACATTGCTTCTGTGTTTACATAAATGTCTTCAGGCTAATCCATCTGCATGCAAGCAGAACTCCATGCATTGTGAGTGGATATATATATATATCAGTACAGTATATGGCATTACTGCAGCGTAATATTGCTATATCTCAGCCTGCAGGTGGTCTTTCATGTGGAGTTAGGAACAGGATGTTCTGTGGTTTTATTTGACCGTGCCGGCTCGAGTAAGTTAGTCTCTTACTCCCAGCGGGTGACGATATCCTCCCAATCCTGCTCCTGAAATCCATCTGATGGTTGACTCAGGGATGATGAGGGCGTTTTACACTTCCAATAAAATCACTCAACACTCACATTCAGATGCTGTCACGCTGAAACGAGTGACATGACAGCTCATTTTTCTGGGATAAAATTAAATTAAAGCTTGCAGCCTGCTGTGTTTGTCACCGCTGGCATGCAGATCCAGATTGCTTTGAGGGACTTCATATTTTTAACTGATACACAAAACAAAGAAATGTGTGGGTGCAGGGTTTATTTAGATGTGAAGCTATGTACATTTCTGGACTGATATTCACTTAATTTGATGTATTAAACTACTAGATTGTAATACACTTTGTTCCTGTTGATTAATAGAGTGTCAGGTTAGATTCACATTCCCCTCATTCAGCTGGGATTATTAAATTAAACTCCAATTTATTCTACAGGACAGATGAGCCTGTATTAAATCACCAAATTAATAAAGTTGGTCTCCATGTTTCACTGAGTATATCACCTGCAGGAAAGAGTTTCTTTACCACAAGCAGGTACCAGTGGGGATTCAGATCTGATTAGTGAGGCATGTAAACAAACCAGACAGATGAATTAGATGTACCTTGTCAACGAGGTTGTTGACTCTTGAAAAGCAAGCGCCTTTTTGGCAGAAATTCAATTAAATGTTCAAGTACCTGGAGCAGCAGCTTCATGCACACGCTATAAACAAAATGTGCACATCATTAACATTTCAGCTGACCTTTACTCAGTGTCAAAATATACCCAATCACGTCAGATAGCAACAAATAAACACCAGAAAATCAGAGAAATATCTTCCTGCATGCAGAATCACATATAAACAGTGTAACCTCAGGGAGCTTCACTGATAAGAGGCATTACTGCGTATTTTCCCTGGCTGACAGTTGAATTATGTCCACATAGAAACAGATAAAGCACACAGCCATGCTTATAGGGCCATCTTGTGGCTATACAAAGCATTAGAGTCAGTCACACAAAATGACTATTAAATACAGAACTCAAAAATAGGTTGCATTACAGAGGCTTTAAATACATAGATTATATCAAATCAAATCAAGTTTTATTTATATAGCACATTTATAAACGATTTTTGGTCGAGCCAAAGTGCTGTACATATAATACAAATAGCCTACAGTAGAGACACTTTACAGCAAATCCAACAGCATATATCAGTTAGTCTGTTGATCATACAACATTTCATTAAGAATGCCTAGCATGTTAAAGATGACACATGTATAGTGTGTGATAAACAATGTCTCCACTTCCTTTCAACAAGTAAAAGCAAGTTTATGTAGGGTCTTTTTATGACACTAAAAGCATATTTTGTTCCCACCTCTCTCTCACTTCCTAAATGGATTGTACTAAAGGGAGGCTAATCTCGAGTGAAGATTAATATAGGGGCCTCGGTGTGAAAAAAGGGATTTGTTTTGTGATGTTACGCTTCTTAGACAATAGACATACAATACAGACAAAAGGCTTTCACATTAAGATGCCACAGTGAGCACACATGCAACTTTATCTCATATAGGGATAATAATAGAAAAACAATAATGATAAAAAAAATGTGTGTCCTTTTAATAACCTCAGACACACTAGAAAGCTTTTTCATAGACATAAGGAATTAGGGACAATATTTTCAGTTCCTCATTATGTGACATCTCACATCACTTTCTTGTTACTGTTTCTCCACCACAGAGGCAATTTGCCTGTGAGTGTGTGGTGTTTGACAAATATCTCAATACTGATTGTAATTAAGATAGCTGAATGACTCAAACTGAAATAAACACTACCTCAGCGACTTTAGCTCGGGCTTCTTCTTCTCTTCAACGAACCAAAACAGAGTGCAGATATTGAATAATTTATATTTGTTTGATACTTTACTTTACCACATGCCAAGTTATCATTAATTTGACTGTATATTAGAGATGTCCTCTTTGAAAAGTCATTTAAACCCCACACACTTGGAATAACTGTCACTTTATGGACTGAACAGACTTCCTTGTTTCATTTAGACCAAAACTAATTCAAAAAATTGCAGAATTAAAGTGTAGCACAGTGTTTTTAGAGTAAAAACAACATTCAAGCTACACAAGATTTCAAGATTATAAATAAAAGACTATGTCAAGTCTAATATTACAATATTAATAAGTTCATTCACCTCCCAGGTCAAGTAACTAAATATAAACAACACTTTTCAAACTAATTGTGAGAGTAATACTGATACATTAACAGAAATATATTATGATATGTTAATGGTTATACAATGACTAACTAGTAAAAAATCATGAGTATGTTCATTATTGGTTATTAAAGAAAGACTTAATAAACACATTTTTGTTCCTGAAAAACACAATTTAGCAAACTCTAAAAATAAATGGACTTGTTGCACAACATATTGTAAATTCCCTAAGCCACAGATCACTCATGTGGCAATATTCAGCCTGGTCAAGAGCAGAAATGAAACTTAAAAACTATTGGATGGGCAAAACCATATCCCTGGAACACTTACACTTATGATAAATGGCTTTAACTTGTGTTTAAACAATGTAGTATTTGTCCCTTTACTAAATGAAAATATATTCCTTCCATCCCCAGAGGAGTGAGGCTGAAAGGGTCTGACAGTAACTCAGTAATCTTTTAGCCATGTTTAGGGGAAGTAATGCAACATACTGAATCATTTGTCACACATTCTTCTATTTCCCAAGGGAGGCATAACTCAAGGCCCCGACGATAGTAAACCTATTACTGGAAATGTGTTGGCCTTAAGCAAATGACAATAAGTAAACCATTAATATAGTCAGTTGTGTGTATTCTAATACTGCTAATAGCCAGAGCTTAAAATGCCCCAATGAAACAAGATTATAATATTCTCAAACCTTTTTATTGTAGTATTTTCAATGAGTTGTATCCTGTGGAAACCAAAAATATCTTTGTTTTGATATTTTACATATTTACTTTTTGAGGAAAATGCAATTTTAGGTTATTATGTGTGTCAGTGTAGCCTATTTCTTTATTCATACATTATTAATTAGTATATTCTATTTTCTGCGCCTGGCACGGAAACAGTATGCTATTATTCATGCTCTGTCAACACTGTTGTTTTTCAGCGTCACCGAAAACGCGTTTGCTTCTTCTTTTGTTAACATGTTGATATAGTGTTGTTGTTCTGAGTTTGATTCTTCGTGTTTTATTGCACCTATTGTAATTCGCTTTGGATGAAAGCATCAGCTAAATGCAATGTAATGTAACGTTTATTACTTATTGGAAAAGAGGATACCTAGAATATAAAACCTAATCAAACAGCTTTTCTAAAATGAATTGTGATACAAGTTATAAGAAGTTGGGACCTGTAGGTGTTACAGAAAGAAAGTATTTTCTTCTTCTTTTACCTTCACTTTTTGGAAAAGAGGACCTGTTCAGTTTAAAATATAAAACCTAAAATATTAAAACAGCTCTTCAGAAATACAGAAGAAACCCTGACAAACTAAAATGAGTTGTGTTGAAAGCTATGGGAAGTTATGAGCTTTAAGTGTTACACAGATAAAGATGTTTCTTCTTCTATACCTTTACTTGCATCATGTATTTCTGTTTGCCATGTATATAAATGTTATGTTCATAAATGTTATATGTGGAAATTAGCTCAAAGCTTAAATCCGGCTCATTTACATTTCAAAGTATTATTTTGTTTAAAATGTTCATTAATGTGCATTGACCCGGTTCAAATAAACGATTAAATGACATGAAAATACTTCTCAGAAAAGAGGACCTGTTCAGTTGAAAATACAAAATGTAATATTTTGTTTGTAAAGCTACAGGAAGTTTAAGTTTAAATGTTAAATAAAGATTCCTATATTTAACATTTAAACTAAAGATTATTAGTAAATAAATAAAGATTCCTTTATTTAACATTTACCACTCATTCGCAGGCAAATATTTCTGCTTTATTTTTTACTTTTTGGAGAAGAGGTACCTGTCCAGTTTGAAATATAAAACCTAAAATTATAGTCAGATTAAACAATGAAAATTAAAATGTATTTTTTCTACAGGAAGTAGTGACCTGACAATGGGCGGGACTTCTGCTGTCATTGAAGTCTCAGTGAACCCGCTCTCCCCTAATTCACAAACTGGGGTCAGGGGCCCCCTTCAGGTCTTTTATAAGGATTCTTGGGATGAACTCATTGCCACGGTATTATCTTCCTCTAAAAAACATAAATAACCAGTTTTAGAGTGCAGATATTTCTGTGTCTTTGCAACACAGCGTGGGGGGTCACACTTGTCTTTTAATTGGTTTCTCAGGGTGCTGCTGGTGTTTTATCTTCAGCTGTGGATGGCTGAATGGTGAGCCGTAAAAAAAGAAAAAGAAAGGAAGCTTCCCCTGGCAGGCATCTTCCCCCTCAGTCAGTCTGACCGCCCACAGTCCGGGGGGAGAAAGTGCTGCTTTGTGAATGAAGGGAGCGGCGGAGGGCAGAAAACAAACTTTACCAAAACCATTTCCGACGTTTTCACTTCCAACCGGACACGTTTCGACGGTGCAACAGGCGACACCTGGCCGACTAGCAGTGAAGAAAACACGGTAAGTCACGACGTGTTTTTAGGATCTTGTGTGGCAGTGATAGAAAGCAGATTGACAGGGGGTTTTTTCGACGGAAAGATGCATGCATTGCAGGCTGACCGTGACTGGAATAACTGCCATGAGATGGGAGATAATTCCAGGGCAGAATTTTAACTCCATAGTCTCTTTTTACATCCTAAAACCTCTGTTTTTGTCCCAACGTGGTATGCTTACAGAGTGCATATCGTGCAAACTAATGGAGCTTCTTTAAGGACTAATTTGTGTCGCTATCCTTAAATCTGTGACGATTTTAAGATCTTCAGGGATGAAAGTGGGTTGCTAAACTGCATGTAGTGCTCAGCTTGTTGCTAAAAAATGACACATTTGCATTGTATTTTACATTATGTGCACATGTATCCCGTTTATTTACAGCTAAAAGCATTTTGGCCGTTTCATACAAAACTTCCATCTGCTTTGCCAGTGTGAGTTTCGCAACATTGCATGACTCATGCATAAGACGTGCATTCCCAATGTCACCACAATAGACTCATAGAAGACTCATTCATGATATTATGAGGTTTCTCTTCCAGGGAGTCTGGTCTGCAAGTGGTAAACATAAGATTTGATTACAGTACTGTGAACACGCTTTGGAAACAGTAGCCAGCCCTTTTCTGTGGCTCAGATTGTGTGTCCCTTCAAATGAAATCCCAGTGCTGCTTCAGTTTAATAAACCACAGTGTTGACACTTTTATATGACTGAGCTTTATTAGCTTTTAAGATGACGAGGTTTCACAGGTTTTAAGAATATTTCTATATTTCCTTGAAACCTACTTGCAGATAAACCTGTTTCTGATGTGGAAGAAGGCTGGGTGACAATATCATGATATTTCTGATGTAATACCCCACTTTGTCTGAATCAACACTTTTATATTACTGAGGTTTTACTTTTTTAGCCAAGATTACCAGGTTTCACACGTTTTAAGAACATTTTTATATGTTCTTGTTAGTGTAAACCTTATTGGCAATGATTGTGACATGGAAGAATGCTAGGTTATAGCAAATATCATGATATTTCTGATTCCCACTATTGACATTATAACAATAATAATAATACACTTTATTTAAATAGCACATTTTAAAACATAGTTACAAAGGGCTTTCACATAAAACAGAACAACGGTAAAAATACACAGAGCAAGTGAACTAAACATCAGCATGTTAAAGCAGTTTAAAAATAAATGAAATGTAACAAAAAATAAAAAGCAATTATAAGAAAAGGGAGTTTTTAAATGTGACTTAAAAGAGGTTTTAGGTTTCGCAGGCCTAATCTCCTCACGCAGATCCTTCCGTCGCTAAGAGCAGGAACATTGAACCTACAATATCTAGGGTTGACTATTTGTGCATTGAGACAATATTTACACAATGAGATTTCATCAGTAATGTTTTCTGAGGAATGCAACTTTTTTTTGTAGAAGCTCCCTTGCTGAGGTTATTTCGGAGAAGCTGTAAATCATGGTGGTCAGTCTGGCCTGTGTGGCCTGTCTCTGCCTGGTGGTGGTAGTCCGAGGCGACCCCTGCCTCATCATCAGCGAGATCAACGCTGACAACCCCCGACTGGACACCACTGAGTTCGTGGAGTTGTATCACACGAGTGGACAACGCTCCTCCCTGGACGGCTACACCCTGGTGTTCTTTAACGGAAACGGAAACATAGCCTACAAGGTGCTGGACCTCAAAGGCCACAGCACAAACGACAGGGGGTTCTTCCTGGTGGGCTCGGTGGACATGTTGCCCAAACCCGCCATCCTCCTGCCTCCCAACACCGTCCAGAACGGGCCCGACGCCATCGTCCTCTACCACACGTCTGCATCTCGCTACAACGAGAAGATGAACGTCACCGCCTTCGGAATGGTGGACGCCGTGGTGTACATGACCCGGCGTACTGGAGGGGCAGAGTTCCTCGCTGAGACTCTGACCCCAGGTGAGCCGGCGTTTGTGGAGGATGAATCGACCCTGGAGGGGGACGAGTCCATCGAGAGGTGCCTGCTGTCTGAAGATCGCTGGGGCTTCCAGGTGTCCTCCCCCTCCCCGGGTCAGAGGAATAACTGCACCCCTCCTGCCGCTCCAGCCACCATCCCTGTGATCACCGAGCTGAAGCTGGGAGGAGGGCAGGTGGACGGCTTCGTGGAGCTGACAGAGGCTCCGGCTGCGGGTCCTCTGGCGCTGGTTGTGTTGGACGGGAGAACGGACAGGGTCAGCGTGAGCGTGGACGTGAACTTGGAAACATCCAGGAACGGGTTAATCTCCGTGAACATAGAGAAGAGCTTCATGAAAGGTCAGTGTGCTGTGGGTTTGTTGGGATCTTATGCTGGAAAATGCTATTTTGTTTATGATTGCTTTTGGGTTGAGCTTTCTATTTAATCAGGTTTCACAGGCGGAAGCGAAGAGGAGCTTTGGGGAATTTTGGTACCTTTTCATTTGAGTTTATTTAAAGAATAAGCACTTTGAGATGAACCATATTGTTTTGAAAGGAGTCCTTAACAAAAAAAGACACACATATAGACAAAAGCTCTCCCATGCCTACTAATATACATATCCTGAATTACATGTAATACTACAGCGCTATACACAGTATAAATGAGCAATGCATCAACACATTTAGAAAGAGATGAGAGAAAGAGAAAGGAACCAAAATCATGATTCTTTAAATGAAATTAGAAGCAAGAGCAGGTCGTTTGAAAGTGAAAAGAGATGCTTTTAAGAAATTAAATGATGTGAGAGATTTTAGTGAGCTGGGAATTTGTTTTAATCAGATGGAGCTTTAAAATTGCAAGTCCTTATGGACTCTTAGGAAGAAAAAAAGGGGTCTCGGTGAGCCTCAGGCTATACGATGACCTATATGGAATAAATTACTCTTTTAATTATTCACTCACTTTTGTTTTATTGTAAATTATTTGTTCCTGTTTTGATTTCTTCTCAGGAGATGATTCTGGGGCAGTGGCTATTTACAGTGGCAGAGCCATGGACTTCCCCCTGGGCAGTCCACTGAGCCAGATTCAGCCTCTAGATGCGTTTGTGTTTGCTGGACCTGGAAACAAGCCAAGCGCCAACCTCACTGAGACTCTCATCCCCGGCAGAGAGCCCTACCAACTCAGCAACAGGCAAGACACTAAGAGAGTCTCCTCCATCAAGTAAAACCAAACCAATGTGACTGCAGTACAAAACAAGAGTTGGGGCGCAAGTGTTGCAAAACACATTGAAGCATTTCTCTCTTAAGGGTCAGCTTGTGACCATTGTTCCTCTTTGCTGATACATTTTTTACAGTTTGGTGCGTCATCCCTGTGGAGCAATCGTCACAAGTAGACTTTCTTTCACACTGAGTCGAAGACATAGAAATTGATTTTGAAATTGCAAGTTTAATTTGCACGTCACTGATGAGAACTGAAGGTTACAAAACAATACTGAAAGGTGTTCAGTTACGCTAGCATCATCGTGAGGCTTTACTGAAGTGCAACTGCTTGGAGCAAAATGCTGAAGACAAACATGACAAAGAGAATGTTTAATGTTTAACATTGTTGGCAACAGCTGGAGCTGATGTGGGTTTTATTAGTGTTGCAGTCATTTAGTCTCAAACCAAAATTTATGGACCTTTATTAGAAGCCATAAAGTCAACCAGCTGGTTGCACTCGGATAAAATAAAGGTTGATTCATGGGGTTTGTTTTTTAAATATTTCATTTTTGTTTCAGTTTAAGAGAGGGGGGCTACTATCTGAGTCGCTGTGGTGTGGCCACGTGGGCCAGAGACCCTGGTGTCTTCTGGGAGGCCCCGCTGACCCCAGCTCAGCCAAACCAGTGCCCCTGGCCAAAGATCTGCCCGCACAGCATGGGTGAGTGCTGCATGACTGTTATTTATAGTATATACCGAACATTATTAAGATCTGTATTTGGTTTGATTCAAAAGAAGATTCTTCCTGCAGTTTGCATGCAGTAAGAAAGGGAATAGGTCATGATTGACAGGCAGTGTGAACGCCCATCTGATTCAGACATTGTGCAAATTATATAACGTTTGGCCATGATAAGTAGGCATGAGAACAAGATCATTAAGTAGTGAAAATGACTCAACAGTAAAGAGAAATAACGTGTGGCTGTGAGAAAAACAGGATGAGTCATCTGCAAGGAGAGACTGTTAATGTTGAATACTTGGCACATTAGGAGCTACATGTGTAGGCATGCAATCATGGATCATTTCTAGTAAATGTCTTATTAATCTTGAGGAACAATGGAATAATTCTCAGAAAGACATTCGTCATCATGCCCGTCCTACAGTCTGCTGACCGCGGGGGAAATTGTTTATTTTATCATTGGTCAGGTGAGGAACTAGGGAACTGACACAAGTATTGTGTCACATCACTGACACAAATATTACAAATTAAAGAACTGAGATCTGGTGATGGATGTTGCTTCAATAATTAACCAACATTAAGAGAAATTAAAGATAATAATAAACTCAGAGAATCAGTTTCCTTGTGGACTTCTTCCTCTTTTCCCTTGAAAAGATTTATGTAAATGGATTGGAAACATGCAGCTAGATTTGTCAAAATATGAAAGTGAAAAATATGCAGCAAGCAGCCAGATATGATTTAATGTAGGAACACTTGGATATAGGGCTGCACGATATTGAAAAAAACTGACATCGCGATTTCCCCCCCCCTGCGGTATATATTGCGGTTTTTTTAACCTGTTAAGCCCCAAAGTCCCGGCGGGTACTTTACTTTTTTTTTTCACGACACTGTGTCTCAGGGGATCTTAATATTTAAGAACCTATTAATGTGTTACACCAGATTAACGGAAATAATCTCAGCTAACTGACGATACAAACCATTTTTACCAAAACAAAACACAAGTCTCATAAGAAGCATCTAAATGACCCCTGAGCGAAAAATGCTAACGCACTTTGGCACAGAACTCAAGATAAAAGTACCCTTATTACTTATCGTAGCTGCACATATAAGATATCCGATTAAAGCTGAGGTTCCACAGATTATTTAGGTATATAGTATCATCACTGAGTGATCCGAACTCGGACAGGGGAAGCAAACACAGATATCACAACACGTACCTTTACGTAGCTTCTAGGGGAGATGTCTCACTGTAGCTGTCAATCTGATCAAAAGACGTGTTCAATGGCATTAAAACGAGAAAAACGCGGCTGAATCGGTTAATCCATAGGTTTTTAACGTCTCTGTATAAAAAAATTATTTCATTTATAATCCATAATTCCATATATTATGTAAAAATCGCAGAGCAAAAGTTAGTAGCTAATGGTAGCCACCAGAGTGGTTGCTGTTTCCGGTCTTGGCTATGCGGCAGTCCAGCGCGGTCTAACCATGAGTCTAACACAGTGGTTCCCAAACGGTGTGCCGTGAGGCAAGTCCGGGTGTGCCGTGGGATTTTGTGACAACCATACGTTATTATTGCAATATACAACTACACACAAATAATTACTTTTTAATTTACTATATCAGTACTTTGTAGGTTTATATGTACGTAATCTGCGCGACTTGCGCGTCCACATCTCCACGTGCAGTGCTGCATAAACATGGCTGAGTCAGCGTTAACTTTCGAGGGGTGGAGGTATGCCCATTATTTTGAGTTCGTCCGAAGAATAGACAGGAATGTGACGGTGAGGTGCAAACTGTGTCCAGGCCAGAAGCTGTTATCCACTGCTGTAAACACCACGTCAAACCTCAACAAGCACCTGCAAAGAACACATGCTAAGGTGAAGCTAACGCACACGCTATTTGTTGTTTGTTGATATCACGTAGTCTGTTCTTCTTCTCTGTCTTCCGGTTGTTGTCTGTATTGAATGACAAATACACACTACCGCCGCCTGCTGGTAAGGAAAGTTATTGCCACTCACGCATGCGCAGTTCGTACGTGCTCGGCGAGTAAAGTAATGAGTTACTTTATGTAGATAGTAACGAAGTAGTGTAATATATTACTTTTTAAAAAAGTAATATGTAATATATTACATTTTTTTAGTAACGACCCCATCTCTGGAGTTGGCGTTCTCTACTCTGGTTTACATGAAGAACAACAGGAGGTCACGGCTCTCTGTTGAACAGGACTTGCGAGTGGCCCTCTCCTCAGTGCCACCAAGGATAAAAAAATTCTGCAAGCCCCGACAGGCACATGTATCTCACTAATTTGTAAATCGGCAAAATATTTACGATAGCACATGTTTCAATGCTGATTGCTGAAATGTTACATTTATAATTTGTAGTTCAGGACCATGGACAATGCAGCTTCCTTGCATTGACAGTTCTCTGTGCTGAATTTCTGCTGAGTTTCCTTTGCCTCATTTTTCATTTTGTGACCTGTCTGGTTTAAATGAGTGTGTTGCTGCTTTGATGAAGCCTAATTTGATACAGTTTCAAATTAATTTCTGAAATATTTCGTTAATAAATATTTCACGAGTAATAGGCTATAGTTGTCTTTGTCACATTTTATTTGGCATTAGTAAATAATTATGCACATTTACAGATATTTTACATGATATGAGTGATAACACGTGTTATAAGGGCTATTTTGCACAATAGGTGTGCCTTGAGATTTGTACTTGTCCTTTGGTGTGCCTTGGGCACAAAAAGTTTGGGAACCACTGGTCTAACACACACACATTACCAAATAAGGAGTGACAGTGACGCGTAGCCAAAACCGGAAGCTGCATACACTCTGGTGGCTACCATTAGCAGCTAACTTTTGTGCTCCGATTTTTACATAAAAATTGAATTATGGATTATAAACAATTGCTTCAAAGCCACAGATACATTATCAACCTATGGATCAACCGATTCAGCCGCGTTTTTTCTCGTTTTAATGCCATTGAACACGTCTGTTGATCAGATTGACAGCTACGGTGAGACGATCTCCCGTAAAAGCTCCGTAAAAGGTACGTGTTGTGATGTCTGTGTTTGCTTCCCCTGTTGCGAGATCGGATCGCTTAGATACTATACCAGACCCGGCGCCAGAACAAATCTAAAGGGAGGGCCTATGATTTTCATGGGAGGGCCCACAAAACCGTCACGGCCTGCGGCACAATATATATCAAACAGCAAGGCCAACGGCATTGCGCAAAGACGCACACTTATCGCAAACATACACAAATAAAGGGCAACGTAGAAACCACTTTGAAACATTGTGTGCTTGGCAGCACAGACACTGGTAAATCACGAGCAAGGCACACTGGTTAAGGATGGCAGCTTCCTCATCGCTGCACTCGGAGAGAAATAGTAGAGACGGAGTCGATGAGCTGTTTAGCCCGCCTTGGGCATGGTTTATGTTCCGATGCACTGCACTCGGACATGCTGTGGAGTGAATCGAGTCACCTCTGAGAGGGAGTTGGTTGACAGCTAAAAAAGCTATAATATCAACGACAGCTGACACGTAATAACGGTTCCGTGCAGCTGATCTGCACCAAAGTTCTAATTTCCTTATTTGTTTCCTCGCGTATCTGTCTCTCTCTCCACACACTCTCACATGAAATGTGTTCTTTTGATGCGGCATGCCTTAGCAGTCCTTTATCAGTCTGTAATGCGTGTTTCCAGTCGCAAAAACCTTTGACAGTAAAAGCCGCATCAGATGAAGACACAAGGCTGCGTCTGCTTTTAACGAATCTTCAACAGACCGGCAAAAGTGCGGTTCTTTCCTGAAAACAATCTCCCTGGATAACGATCCAGCTTCACCTGCTTGGGTTTATTAACCCCAGATCATAGCTAACTCAGCCCGGGGTTTGCCGAGGTCAAGCTTGTGACATTAAGGCGTGCTGCTGCAACGGCAGGTGCAGGGTCGCCAGCAGCACCATCGGCTGCAGTTCTTTCATCGCTATTTCGTTTTAATACATTCTTAGACCTTTTAAGCCAATTTTTTTTTCAAACAGAAATGGGAGTCTACAGAATGCACAATAAACAAATCCAGAATAGGCGGCAGAGTGTGACGCTGTGATTGGTCTAAATGGGGACGAATCACAAATCACAACAGACACATGCATTTATTTGACGTAGCCTGGCGCCTGCGATTTTTTTTTAGTTCTGACATCACATACATCGTAGCATAAAAGTTCACAGTTTATTTATAATTAAAAAAATAAAATAAATATATTTTTTAATTTGTATAAATAATAAAAAAACGTGTTTATTCGGGGAGGGCAGGAATGTCAAATGGGAGGGCCTGGCCCTCCCACGGCGCCGGGCATGTACTATACTTAAATAATCTGTGGAGTCTCAGTTTTAATCGGATATATTGTATGTGCAGTTTCGATTAGTAATAAGGGTATCTTTATTTTGAATTCTGTGCTAAACTGCGTTAGCATTTAAAAACAAAAATGAATAAAACCGCACTTCCCTGCGGTGTGAATATCGCGCATATCGCGGTTATCGCCATGACACGGTATATCGTTCAGCGCTACTTGGATACATTGACTTTTAAAGATTAAACACCTTATTTTTATTCTTATTCTTATTATAATTTATTCTTATTATTAAAGCTCCAGAACAGCTACTGAATGGACCTGGTGGTGAGATTTCTTTCTCAACTTCTTTTCCCAAGTTCAGGAAAAGATTTTAAACCTTAAGATCCTCAAAATCCTGACAGATTCTGATTTTTATTTATTACAATATTAAGCATTGGCTGTCCACTTTGCCTTAGGTTACACCCGGAAAAGACTTCAAGGTTAGCCAAACTTTAATGGAAGAGAAAAAAAACGTTTATGTGGGAAATACTTCTTCTAAATTCTCATTGAATTGATTCCTGAAAGATGATACTGCCATCTGTTGCACTTTATAGGTATTGTGTTACTGTCCCAAACATAAAATGAGAGCATTAATATAATTAACGTTCTTAATGTCCCTTTATATTCAAAAAAATTGCTTAATAAGCTCAATCGCGTTTTTGCCAATAATAAAATAGACACCACTCTCAAACATGCCTAAACAAATATGAAGTTATGGCCAGCAGACACTTAGCTTAGCATAAATTATTTGAAACAGCTAGCCTGATCATGTCCAAAAGAAACAAATTCTGCCTAAAATAATCTGTAAAGTTATTTTATTAGCATGTTATGTGTCTGTTAATTCAACAAAAATACCACAGTGAAATTATTCCTTTAACAGCAGCAAATTCAAACTTTTCCTTATGCGTTAGTGACTCCAGGAGGCACCGATTCCCCTCCCCACCTCCCACCCTGGGGGAACAGTGACTTCCTGATCAACGAGCTGAACACGGACACCCCCGGCGCCGCTGAGGACGGCGAGTACATCGAGCTGTGGCACCCGTCGGGGCGCCGGGTGTCCCTGCAGGGCATCTGGATCCTGCTGTTCAGCGCGCACAACAACAAACCCTACAGGGAGATCAGCCTGAGTGGACACTACACCACCTCTAAGGGCTACTTCCTGCTGGGCAGTGACAGGCTGGTGCCGGCCCCGTCGCTCCGCCTGCCCCCCAACACCATCCAGAACGGGCCTGACGCTGTGGCGCTGTATCGAAGCCCCTACGGCCCCCCGTCCGCCTCACAGAGGGGCATCCCCACCAAAGGGCTCATGGATGCGGTGGTGTACCGGCAGAGGGGGTCGGATAAGGAGGCGCAGGATCTGAGTAAAGCTCTGACCCCGGGACAGCTCCCTCTGCTGGAGGACCCCGAGGTTCTGCCCGGAGACGAGGCCCTCAGTCGCTGCAGGGGCCTCTACCCGTACGACCTGTCCGCTTTCTCAGTGAGTGCAGAGGTTTCTCACAGCATGATGAATTCAAACACTTTTTTAGTACTAACTCTGATGTGGCCAAGTGGCAGAAACACAAGATTGTGGAAAACATCTTTAATTAAATAATGTAGGGAAAGGGAAGTTTACTTATTCACCTTTTTGCTGGGAAATAGATGAGAATACAGCTACCGCTCATATTTATGAATATGATGCAAAGTCAGGTTGGCCTAAGTCAGCACAAATATGCAGGCAAAGAAAATAATCATGGTACGTGTAATTTTAGTATGTACAAATGTTAAAATATAGAAACGTACAAATAAATAAACACAAATACAAATTTGACGAAAAAAATCAAAAATAACTAAATGAATAACTTTAGAAAAAACTAATCATACATACAAAGTAAAAATTAAATAAAGAAAAGAAAAATGTATAGAATTTTTAATAAAAGAAAGAAGGGATAAATCCGGTTTGCAACAGACTCAGTGTCAATAGCCGTAAATTGCTTCTATAACTTTCCGGAAATGTATTTTTTTTCACCAAAGGCGAAAGGAAGTTTTTAAACAAAACCTTAACAAAGTGTTTTTTCTGTTATTGCACCCATATCCAAAGTGATGCAGCTGTTCCTTATGGGATTCTTTCAAGACATTTTTAAACCATAAATGTTTAAATTCATCAATCTCTGCAGGTGGCTCCGCCCACCCCTCTGAGGGAGAACATCTGCCCCCGCCCGCCTCCCGCCCCTGAGGGTGTGGTCATCAGCGAGGTGGCGAGCAGCCATTGGACCAATCACAACCAGCAGAGGAGCTTTGTGGAGCTGCACGGCCCCCCCAGGACGGACCTGCGGGGCCTGGTGCTCTCCGTGTTCGATCAGGAGCACAGCGGCACCGTCATCGCGATGCCTCTCACCGGCTCTGTGGACGACGATGGACTCTACGTGGTGGGAAATGTCACCGGAGCAGGTGAGGGCAGGAGGAGGTCTTGTTGTCTTTCCTCTCACTTTATTAATAATAGTGCACTCTGAATAGTCTCTCCCACACACTCTCTCTGTGTCTTTGTTTTCTTATTTTACTTGTTTTGAAACTATACCACTGTTGTGCAACGACACTGCTCATGTGCAATAAACTAGTGCTGAAGATGAATCTGAATATTTTCAGAAATTGCAAAATGGACTTGTGCAATATTTAAATGTATTGAAACACAATTTTTTATAAAGTTTTGAAGCTGGGGAATTATCCCGGCCTGCAAATCATATTCTACAGACTCAACAAAACCGAATTGTTTGCAAAAAATCCTTTAAACAAACGCACCGTAATAATTTAATGTAATTTGGAATCATGATAAGAGTTAGGATTAAAAAAACGACCAATGTTGTGAATCATACCGCAATTGCAATATCAGTAATCAGTTTTTCTTTAAACACGTTATTATTGTAATCACTGCTTGCCTCTTTATGTATACCATAGTTGTATGCCTATTTTAATATGATAACGTGTGTTTTAATAGATATGTTAGCTTATTTATTTTGTATTCATTTAACTTTTTTCCTGTAACAATGTAAATGTCCCTGCTAGGAATCAAGGCTTTCTGATTGATGTCTCACCACGCCTCCCCTCTCTCCTGCTTAGATCAGACGTTTCTGGAAGGTTCTTCAGTGCCGGCCCGAGGAGCGGTGGTCCTGTGCTACGACCTGTTCAGTGTCTGCAGAGCCGGCACAGCGCTGACCAACTCCAGCCTCAAAGACGTGCTGGTGTTCAGTGAAAACCAGCAGCTGCTCTCCTCTCTGTCATCCAGCAGAGGGAGACAAGTGATTCCAGCTGCCAGGTACACAGCATGAATCACTGAGAGCTGTCACGTTTTTTTTTTTAACTTGTACAATAAGTCTTAAACTCAATTAGGGCTTTAATCAAACTGCTGTAGAGGCGTTAACCTTATTATCTTTTCACAGCTTCTTCTCTTTTAACCAAAGATTACCATGGCAACTTGTTCTGCAGTTCTAACTAAGGCACGCTAAGCTAAAAAAAAGACAAAACCCATTAGATTAAAACAAATCCACTCACCTACATACCTGTCAAAACATCGTCAATCTTATTTCTTTAAAAGACAAGACAAGGCAAGTTTATTTATATAGCACCTTTCAACACAAGGCAATTCAAAGTGCTTTACAAAAAACGAAAGACATTAAGAAAATGTGTTTATTGGTTATATTTAGAAACATTTTCACCCCAATATTCATTTCACTATTTGAATTATTCCTAACTTTTGAGATCTATGAAAATCTTAATCTACAGTTAACATTACTATGTCAAAGCCAGCGTATGCACTTTATTTTAGAAACTTTTATTTTGTTTTACTCCTTAAGGGTGCATTCACACCTAATAGTCCGTTTTCTGGTGCGCACCAGACGACAGTTTGTTACATTGTTTCATTTTTCAGAAGGTTCGGTTTGCTTTCACACGGGCAAAACTCAAACGGACTATAAACTTTAAACACAAGTCATGTGCACGGAAATGCTGTTCAACCATTGGTCAGACATTAAGGGGGTAAAAACGCGAATCCCGGCAATTTCTAGCGGAGCCTCCGCCATGGAGCATCGGCACTTTCGGCAGGTTATTCTCATGCTGCTGTTAATCTGGAGATCAACAGACTCTAGCGGCCCGCGCATATGATTATATAATCAGACAGCGTCCGTTAAAAAACATTATAACACATATAATGAGACGTTCTGCAGTAATGAGGGGCGTTTCACCGACGACAGGTGTTCTTACTTTTATGTAGCTGACGGAGAATTTTTACTTTACACGACACTGTTCAACACTTCATTCTGCTTCACTCTTTAACTAAACAACCGCGGATGTCTTGAAAGACTCTTTCGCTAAAGATTTTTTAAGACATCCGCGTTCTTGTGACACGTAAATACTACACTTCGTATGTTTTGGTGCGGACTGCGTTCACACCAGCAATGAACCGCTCCAGAGTTCACAAGCAAGCGCTCCGAGACCACCTATTTTAGCGGACCAGAGTCCGGTTGTTTAGTTCACTTAAGCCAGGGGTGCCCAACCAGTCGATCGCGGGGAGATTCCCAGTCGATCGCGATATGTGTCTAAAAATAGAACAACAATATTCTGTTTTATCGTTAATGTCCTATGACATAATCTTCCTGTGCCAGAATAATGCACTTGAACGCATCAAAGCTTTGTGATTGGCCGGCGTGACCCCATGTGTCGGGGCGTGGCTGGTGGGCAGTGGGCACTATTTCGCTGACGTTGTCCGTGTCAACAGGAGTGACAGTCCGCACACACACAAGACCGCAATTATGGCAGAAGCAAAAAAGCCCAAAATATATAATTTTCACTCCGACTGGGAGGATGATTATTTTTGTATCTATTCCAATTCAAAGTCCATCTGTCTCATCTGCAATGCGAGCGTGGCTTTATCGAAGAAGGGTAATTTAGGAGCGGCATTTCAAAACAGTCCACAAACGCCACGAGACGGAATTCCCTCCTAATTCTGCCCTACGCTCCAAAAGGGGAGGGGCCTGAAAGGACAGCTAAATGCACAGCAGTCCATTTTCACCAGGCCCAACAACAAGAGCAAGGCTGCTACCATAGCATCTTATCGTGTCAGTCACATTCTTGCGAAACACATGAAGTCTCTCCAGGCTTAAATTACTGAGGGGGCTGTTCAAAAATCCGAGGGGGCGACTTTTTTTTCACAACAACGAAAAATACTGGCAATGTAATGAATTGACACACCAAGTTTTTTTCATTCTCACTGCTCTACAATCTCTTTGCTTCTTTATTTGTATTCCGGATTGACCCCTCTCATTCTGTTCTTTTCCTCTGATCTTTAATAATAGATAGTACTTTATTAGATGCCTGCACTTTGTTAGTCACGTTAACAGACTAACATTGATTCCCTCAATTTATAAATGGACAGGCTCTGTAATTATACCATAACCTTTTCTCCTCTATCCCTTAACTCGTCTTCCTATACAGATTTATTATTTACTATCTACTCTAGTCATGTCAGGATTAAATACAAATTAATCTGGTTGATTTTTTATTTTCAGGATTGAATGTTCAAACCAAGACCTAAAACCTGGCATTCCATAAGAAAGTGACTAATATATAAACCAAATGTAATATTGGATCAAATACTACACCAAATGGACAGACACAGATTACAAATCCGTCGCTAGATGTCGCTCATTGTACCAATACGGTTTATATAATAACATATTATTATAGTAAAAGGGCTCGCTTTGGCAAAAACCTGATCCATACAGGCAGCCCTAAATAATAACAGGTAAGCATCATGTGTGGTGCTATCTGTAGTTGTCTTATTTTTTGTCGATTTCATCTTGTTTTCACAGAGCTGTGGAAATGAATTTCCCCCTGGGGACAATAAATCTAATCTAAACTAATTTAATATTCAATCCCACACTTGGCAATTGAGAACATACATTCGTAATTTACCTCGTTTAAATTACTTTTGTTCTAATACTATGGATTTAGTTGACACTACTAGCCGACTTTCTTTTGTCCAATATTTTGCGGGAAGGTACATTGAATTAGTAGCTTCTTATTATACATCCATGGGTAGAAGAAGAAGAAGTAGAGGTAGAAGAAGTAGAGGTAGTAGAAGAAGAAGAAGAAGTAGAGGTAGAAGAAGAAGAAGTAGAGGTAGAAGAAGAAGAAGTAGAGGTAGAAGAAGTAGAGGTAGAAGAAGAAGAAGTAGTAGAAAAAGAAATACACTAACGCTACAAACAGGCACAACACTGTTACTCTGTTTTTACTGACATGTAACATTTTATTTCACCTTGCTCTATGTTTTTTAACGCACATTCCGAAAATGGGGACTTTGCCCGGAAAACAGGGACGTTTTGGTCCCCCATCCGACTGCGTTTACAGCTAAGCACACATGCTTAATTAAGACTACAAGCTCACTTGGGGTTGAGGCTTGTTTACACGTTGCTTGACTGCCTGCCCACATATCTGATCTAAATATAGTAACGTGTGTTGGGGAAAATAATTATTTAAAGTTATTTAATAATTGTGACATTTATTTAACTTTTCGATGGCTGAATGATGCTCAAAGTGAGGGGGCAAATAAAACAACTTAGGGGGCAATGCCCCCTTTTGCCCCCTCGTGGCGCCAGGCCCGAGTCTTTCAAAGACGGCGAAGTTGTGAAAGAAGCATTCCTGGAGGCTGCCGACGCGCTTTTTGGGGACAGTAAATATAACAGAAGCATTTCAACAGGTTTTTGATATAATAAAAACTCAAGTTAGATACCGTTATTAATCAGCTGTAAGTTTTTGTTTGTTTGAACTTATTCATTATAATTATTGTACAAAATGGTATAAGGCAAGGCAAGTTTATTTATATAGCACTTTTCAACACAAGGCAATTCAAAGTGCTTTACAAAAAATGAAAGACATTAAGAAAATGGCATTTAAAATCAGTCATTAAAAAGAAAAGCTAATAAAATAAACATTAAAAGAAAAAATACATGGATAAAAGTTACAGTGCAGTCAAAGATATGAATAGTTCAATTAAAAGCAGCGACAAAAAGAAAAGTCTTAGCCTGGATTTAAAAGTAGTCAGAGTTGCAGCGGACCTGCAGGTTTCTGGGAGTTTGTTCCAGATATTTGGAGCATAATAACTGAACGCTGCTTCTCCATGTTTAGTTCTGACTCTGGGGACAGAAAGCTGACCAGTCCCTGAAGACCTGAGAGATCTGGATGGTTCATAATTTAGCAGGAGGTCAGAAATGTATCCTGGGCCTAAACCATTCAAAGCTTTATAAACCAGCAGCAATATTTTGAAATCTATTCTTTGACACACAGGAAGCCAGTGTAAAGACTTCGGAACAGGAGTGATGTGATCCACTTTCTTAGTGTTAGTGAGGACTCGAGCAGCGGCGTTCTGAATAAAAGTTATAGTCTATTATCAATTCAGGTTAAGTTAAGAAACTAGTGTTGCTTGCATCCTATTTTAAAGGCATTTATTTTTATACTCTACTAAATGCAACAAAAAAAGGGTTTGATTCTATTAATTTTTTTCTTTTTATTGCACTTTGGCAGCAGATTCCTGTAGCTTCAGATCTGAGTTGTCTTATTAGTAAGCCTAATTTATACTTTTGTAGCAACACTACTCAGTTTTACACAAGTAGAAGTGTGTATTTACCTGGTAGTAGGCTGTCAGTAATGGCTACGCCTGGACGCTTGGACTGGTAGATCTCGGCAGACTGGCAACTTTAAAAGTAGCTCTCGGTTCAAAAAAGGTTGGGCACCCCTGACTCTCGGACTGTGTTCACACCGACCCAAATGAACCGCACCAAGCGGCTAAACGCACCAGGGTTCGATTCAACCGGACTATACAAGGCAGGTGTGAACGCAAAATTCTCTATATCCAAAGAGAAATTAATGCTCTGAGCGAAAATATGAATACATCCAGTATTTGTACGCCTTTGACAGGCCCGGTAATGACTTATTTCAGCTGGCATTGAATGATTGCCTACCAACGCTCCCGGCCCTTGCAATTATTGCACTTAATTGTTATTATTGTAATTGTAGTCTTCCACAAGGTTGCTGTGAATAATAACAAAAGTAGTGTTCATTCTTAATGTTAGATGTTTGATAACATGTTAATGACACATGAGGATACTGTGAGAATATTGTGCTGCATGGCTCTCCCTAACGCTCTCGTCTCGTCCTGCCACATTGCTCGTTTGTTTTGGGGGATATTTTTCTGTGTGGTACTTTCAAAATCTAGCTTATTCTTGCTGGTTGAACATTTCAGCTTTACTTGATTAGAGCAGCGTGAAACTGTCAGATAAACACCTTCTTCAGGGGTTATTTGCAGGTGGGGGTAAAGAATTCAATCAGTCACAATCACCTGGCGATGTGACCCCTTCTATTAACCAATTTCCTGCGGTAAACTCTGGATTTCCGATGGTGATTGGCTAGTTTTTTTCCTATTTACAGCAGCAATCATATTCAATCACCAGATAACAGACTGCTTTGTACATAGTCATTTAAAGTTCAGGTTAACAGGGTTAGGGTTAACCCTTTAGATGATTACCCAGGGTTAACAAAATTAGACTCAATGACAAACAGACTCATTTTGTGACATATATGTATTTTATACAGAGTGTAAATATTGCAAAGTGCAGTTAATCATGTTTGTTTATTCAAGGAATCCATGTAGGCTTCATGTTTTGTGTTATCCATTTTAAATGATGCAAAATACATGATGGCCTTACACTCATTTGTGTGCATGGAAACCTTCATTCTGTTTGACTTGATATCTTATTTTTTGCCTTTTTCTTGCTTTTCGCTAACACACAAATGTTTGTATTTAAAAAAAAAAAATGGTGCAGGTCAGTGGAAGACGGTCCCGTGTCGCTCAGCCGGTGTTCGTGCTGCGAAGTGAGGAGCCCCTCCTCCTGGACCACCTCCTCTCCCACTCCTCACAGCACCAACCTCTGTCCCAGCTCCGCCTTCTCCAGTCACATCGACCTGTGCCTCGGCCCCCTGCCCAGCGACGCACAGCCGCAGCCGCCTGGAGGTGAGAATACAATGTAGAAAAATACTATGGAGCAAGAATAGAGGGTGTAAAGCTCATTGAGGCATTTCTTCACACAAAAAAATGCACATACATAGTCTTAAATGGCATAAACAACTTTAAAAGATATAGCTATGAAGTGTGACCTGGTGCCTTGTGACTGTGGAGCTCTCTCCCTATAGTCATCCGCTCTGCAGTCTCTGTAGAAGCTTTTTTTTAAAACTACTGAAAACCTATCTTTTTACATTGGCTTTTGTTTCTACTTGAAATGTGTGTGATGTGTACTTTCAGGACTTCACGTGGTCTATGTTTTGTTTTTATGTTGACCTTACATGTCTGCCTCATGTGGTTTTTGTATTCATGTTTCTGTGGTCTTAATTTTAACTTTTGTTATTACTTGTGAAGCACTTTGAATTCTATTACTGTGAAAGGTGCTATAATAAATAAACATTATTATTATTTTGTTAAAAGAGACACTTTACAACTAGGTACATCAGACTGATTACCCAGGGTCACACAATTAGGCTCAAGGGGTGCAATAAGTGTGGTTTCAGACCTCTGAATTATGTATTTATATAAAGTTTAAACGATGCATAGTGCTGTTGAATGGTAACCATTTCAGTTTATTAAAGGAATACATGTAGCTTTAGTTTTGCCATATTAACATTTCTATGATTATATGCAAAATTCATTATGGCTGTAACGTAAATGGTATGTGTTTCCTGTCTTAATCTTAATTGTACAGTTTCTTATAAAGGTTAAAATGCCCAAACTTTGTCTTTTAGGAAGACAGCAAAAACAAACCAATAAACACAGACCCTAAATGTGTGAGAATTTTAAACCGAACATGTTGGTAATTTTTCTGACAAAATGTTACAGTATCTGTTCGGTCAAAACACAGGAAATGTCTTTTTATAAAAGTGTTATATTTGTCTCTGTTTCTCCCAGAATGCAGTGGTCTGATCCAGGGGAAGAGGGTCGCTGAAGTGGCCGAATACCTGGAGCAAAAGTGTCACTGTGGCATCTCCGCCTTGTATCTGCAAGGTGAGGAACTTCCCCTCAGGATAAATCCATCACATAAGGCAGATTATTTTGAATGCAAGAAATGTGTTTTTTCTGCGAGAACACGGAGATGATTACAGACCTCTGACACTCAGGGGCTCTTGGGGAGAATATGAAAGCAATCAACCTCACGTCACTGTTACCATGGAGCTCTAAAGTTGTCCTAAATATCTGTTATTATGTTCAGGCAGACGCTGTTGGAGAGTACGTATTTAGGATTTCAAATTGTAGAGGCCGTTATACACCTGTGGAAACATATAGGAACTCACTAGCCCTGCTGCGGCTACTTCTCGTGTAACATTATCCGGCAGCGTTCATATATAAGTACTTAGTTGTGTATTTATGGGTTGAACTTACTTGCACATGTATTTAATGAGAGATTGTTCCGTTTGTGCTCAAGGAGCCAACTTTTCCTGTGTGTCTGGATGGCTGCGAGTGTGGGGGAACATCCAGGCGCTGTCGGACCACCAGAAGGCCCTCATCATCCAGACGTCCCACACCAGTCCTTCATCCGCTCAGGGAGACTTCTGCTCCGCTCCAACCACGGGACGCTACTCAGGCACAGGTTAGCACCAACACATCGCCACTGCAACAACAAAAATCAGTTCTTCTTAATGTGCATGTTGTCTAAAATGTTTGACTTCTCCCAATATGACTTACGGGAGATGTATGTGCAGTTCCCTTAAATCTGAGACTCAAATGTACCCCCGCAAGCTTGATTTGGTACATCCCAATAAAAAAAACAGAAGACTGTGCCTTTTCTTGCAAGTAAACATCCAAAATCATATGCTCCTGTCTCCAGGCTTTTCCTTGAGATATCCAGAACATTATACAACGATTGGTTTTAGGGGACACAACACCAATTTCTTTCTTTGTCAATGTGCTCTTAACACATCACCGGCATATCGAACCTGAAACCCTCTGGCGTAGAGCAAAGTTGTCAGTAGAGAGAGTAAGAGTTTGTAATAACATGATTAACGTTTTTTCAGCAAATCTGTACATGGAGCCAATATTTTCCTTCCATATCTCCCCAAACTCCTACTAGATATTCATGTTTTACAACCAGTTGTGCTTTATTTGCCACTGTTATAAGCTAAACAACACAAACAAATGTAAGATGGCAACTACACTAACCATTCACATACTCCTGCTAGCCATAACAAAGTCATCACCTGAGTAAAAATGTTTTCGCTGAATCTCTCTGATGTTTACTGAGAAAAATGCACAAACCCACTGCTCTGGATAATTGAGTAATTGAGAAAGAGTAGATAGAAAAAAGAAGCAGGGGCAAGTGTGGAATTGGAATAGTGGTGTGAAGGCATTTAGGCACAAACATGCAATATCTGTGCTGATTGAAATAGATGATTTAATTGCTATTTAAACGTGTTATCTTGTTTATAGAAATGTAACCAGATGTTTCTTTCTCCTAGCGTCCGCCCTAGGCTTACAGATCGGGCTGATCGTAGCGGTGCTCCTGCTGCTGGGACTGGGCGCAGCTTTATTCACATATTTCTACAGGAGGAGGTGAGCACGCTTTACTTTCCTCTGCTGTCTTCCTCTCTCATTGTCTGCTGGACGTGCAGCATTTAATTCCCTTATTCTCTGATCATTTGCCAGGCACCATCACAAAGCCAGATGATTAACATTTGTTTAATCTTTTGACATCAGAAATGAAGAGTGATGGAGTGTTGTGGACAGCATATTTAGAAATAAGTGTTGGTAATTAAGATGAAATAACAACAATTTAGCTCCATTTGTTGGGAGTCTGGCGCTGCAAATGTGTTGCTTTGTTTCTTTTTCACACAGTCATTGCCATTATTCCCGTCTTTAGACGACTTCTTCAGAAAAGACTTTGGGTCTATCATAGAAAAGTCACACTCAATTTGTGCCTTTTTCTTGACGGGTTGCACACGTCTGAATTCTCAGTGGAAGAAAATATAAAGTAGCAGCGCAAGGGAGATAACATCTTTAGTCATGCAATGTAAAATATTGGAAATGCTGTCATAACAACATGATATAATATACAGTATAACGAAAAATATGCACTATATGCAACATATACATGATTTATACATTTATTTGACTTCTGAGTGTTAGTACGCCAGGAGATGATTAGCTCTTTCTACCGTATATAGACTGAAATAAGGAGTAAACGGCTAATTTAAAACCTACACCACTTCATAACCTACAGCTCTGGAAAAAATTAAGAGACCACTGCAGCATTAACAGTTTCTCTGGTTTTACTAATTAAAGCAGTGCTTCTCAAAGTGTGGACCCCCTAGTGGTCCGTGAGTATATTGGTAACATTTCGCATTTGAAATTAATTAATTAATTGAAGTTTTCCGCACTCTCGCGGGAATATCTCCGCAATGGAGCGAGGTTAAGTTTCACTTTCGATTGCATGATATAGCCCAGCGCAACACCTTCATCACACATGTTGCCACTTGTTTGTACCAATTTCAGGCGATTTGTAATCTGTTCTAGAAAAACGATGTGTTTTTGGATATGTGTGGAGTTAGGTGGTCCGCAAGTGTTTTTTTATTGGTTAAGTGGTCCTTGGTATGAAAAAGTTTGAGAAACACTGATTTAAAGGTATGTGTTTTTAGTAAAACTAAATTTTTCTTTTTATTCTATAAACAATACGGACAACATTTCTCTGTGTTAGTGTTATTCAACAGACACTGGAATGGAATGGCTGCCATAAATGTAGAGATTGAGATTTAAGAAACATTTGGAGTGGACTTCCAGACCTGTAGCTAACCTAGAGCAGGGGTCGGCAACCTTTACTCTTAAAAGCATTTCTCTCCTCCTGCCACCAAACTAAGTTTGTCTGGTGCCTCCTAACATATTTGATAACAGAGCTTATTTAAGGTTTTATATATAATTATACTTTGTTTGTTGCATCTATGAACTTGTTACGTCCCCCTCTAGGGGTAGAGGAAAACAACACACACCAGTTGGAATTGGTATAATTATAAAGGGTTTATTTTAAATAGCCGGGTAAACAAAATGGCAGGCATGCAGCCTGGAACAAACAAAAAGGCCAAAAGAGCACAGGTTGATAAATAACCAACAAAAGGAGGACTCTAAAAAAGGAGTCTAATCGCATACAGGGGAAATAAATACTCATACACTAAATAAAGAACGAAACAAAACCTCACTTTAAAAGTGGTACAACTAACAAAGGGAGCCTGTAAGAAAACACAGCTAAGGTAGAGGACAACAGTCAAACAATACTAAACTAATCTAATCACAACAATACTGACAAACACAGACCACACGAGTTAACCACTGTTAACAGATTTGCACACAAACTAGCGAGAGGCATCCGCTCACACAGCAGAGCCTCCAGAGTGATGATTGCCCCCAGGCTTTGTAGTCATCTCCAGCAGGTGTGCGCCGTCTGTGCGCTGCGATTGGAGTGCGTCGGGCCCGGCGTGCTCCAATCACAATCTTCAGGGGGCGGACCAGGAGATGGCAGCCAATGACGTCAAGGCAACCGCACAGCTAATTTACATATCACACAGATTAACACAGTTAAAACGACCAGGAAGGCAGCAGCCGTAACTATTTATAGATCAAAAATATGCAGAAAGTGTATGTAATTATCCCAGTAGAATATCACAGTTTCAGGAAGTGCGAAATGTCAGCAGCAAGTGTCAGAATGAAAGAGCATGACCTTCTTTCTTGTCTTATCATTTTACACAAATGTAATGGGGAAGAAGTCCATGGTGAATGTACTGTACAGATTTCTCCCACACGCTTACTTATTCTTTATTCTTTATATTTATTCATTCTTATTTACATTACATTTTAATCATCATAACTCCCAGATTGCCTTAAGTTACTTGAAAAACTGTATGAGAAAAGTTTTGTATTTATATTCCTGTCCTCTCAGCTCTGTGTCAATACGCAGCCATTGTCTTGAAATTGCACAATGATTATGAAACCATTGCTCTCAGTCCAGTCAATAATAACCTCCCTGATGCGCAAGGGAAATGGAATTGTAGATGAGATGTGAAGCATAAAGTAGCTTTGATGAAATATGATTATTTTGAGCTTGGATACGAGTAGGTTTCCTGTCAGAATCGCCCGTTGCTCATGGTTGGAATTGAAATGTCTAAACGTTGAAGTGTTTATAAAGAAATAATCCCCTCGACTTTTCATAGAATATCTTTATTGTCATCATACATCGGTATAACGACATTTAGTTGGCATCTCTCACTGCATTAATAGAAATAGACACAAATACATAAAAGCAGTGATACAAGCAGAGGTAGCAGCGATGGCAATGCAATGAGAAGCCAATGAGATTAAATTAAATGTCAACGACGTACATATTTACACATTTTACAGACTATAAAATTAAAATATACCAAGATACAACATTTTAAATATAACTGTTCGTAAATAGATGTTAAAAGTAACCATAGATGCTTACATAAAAAAAATAAAAAAATACATTTAATGGCACTTTTTGTTGGCAATTTTATGATATTTCCCCCCAATTTAAATATTTAGATTTGTTCACCTAAACATTTTTTTTTACATTTTTTGTATTTCTAAAAAAAATGGTTTCCTTCAGATTGATGATAACTGCTAACCCTGGGAGTAACTAACAACATGTCCATAGTATTTACACTTCTGGCTGTACTTTCCCCCTAATAAATGAGGAATCAGCTGATCAAATAACACAGAAGTAAATTAGGCACAGTAGAAGTTTCTTAGCCACAAAAAAAAAAAAAATCCATTCCTAATTTTCTGTCAAAAAAGTGTGTGTGTGTTTTAACGTGGTCTCTATTTCCAGGCGCCCCATGGACTACTACACCATGGAGCTGAGTGAGCACGCAGAGGGACTGTCAGATCTATAATCCAGGCGTCTGGAGGTGCTCGTGTGCGTGGGAGGACTTCATCAGAGGGAGCGGGCGGTAATCAGAGGTTAATCTGACCTAGAGGTTAATCTGACCTAAACGTAACTGATTATGCGGTTGTTAAAAACAGGTTCCACCACAAGTGTCCTTCTGAGTGTCTTTTGAGTGGATCCCTGATTAAATGACTCGGGATTGTCTTGTTAACAGCCTAGTTGTGTCGAGTCTGTGCGGTATATTACATGGCACTGTTGACATTTCGACAGCAATCCATGAATCTAATAAGAAACGCCAGATAATACCATATTTTTATAAAGGTCGATGTGCAACCTTTGCCTGTGAACAGTGCTGGTTACTACTTTTAAAGGAAAAGGAAGACGAAAGGGAGCATTTTCTTTTTAATACTTGAGTCATTTTTGTTGACTTGTTCATGTTGTATTTAAAAATATAAGAACCACCATGCTATGCAGGAAGCTCTATCAAAATAATGACTTTCATCACATTCAGATGTTATAACCAAGATAATATTTGTGACGCTCACATTTAGTCTTCAAAACGGTCCACTTCCTGCTTCGCTCTCCTGCTACATGCTGTAAAAACGTTAGGGCGTGATTGTGTTTTTAATGTGAATGTCTTTAGCTAACATGTGATCAGCGTCTGTAACCACTTTTGTATGCTTACTTCAAGCAAACTGTTTACATTTTTCTTGAATGGAAATTAGAAAGGGATGCGAGAGAGTAAATGAATAAAGCGTATTTGTTTTTGAGAAATGAAAAATTGCTTATTAAGAAAATCAAAAAAAAAATATTTGTGATTTTTTTTTTTTGTGGCTAAGAAACCTCTACTGTGCCTAATTTACTTCTGTGTTTTTTGATCAGCTGATTCCTCATTTATTAAGGGGAAAGTATCCGAGGGTTAGCAGTTATCATCAATCTGAAGGAAAAATATTGTAGAAATACAAAAAAAAACATCTATTTTCAAAGTTTTGATTCAATTATATTTAAATTTGGGAATTAATCATAACATTTCCAATACAAAGTGCCATTACATAATCATCTCAGCCTGGATATGATGTTCTATTTCTAATATTGCTTACCTTGTAATGTTGCATCGCTCATCTGCTGTAGTGCAAATCATTTCAGTTACCTTGTAAATACATTTGAAAAGAAAGCTAGATTTTAAAACGAAATCCTCTTTTGTAAGGGAACCCCCCGCCCCCCTGAAATTATGCTATGTATAAATGTATTTTATTGTAAACTTCTATATTTCTAGGTTGTATGTAAAACGGTACATTAGAAAAAAGAAAAAAAAAGGGAAGGAAGAAATTGCACTCAAAATGATATGTTGTAGTGGAATTAAAAGTGATGTGTTCGCACTGAAGAAGCTACACAATGATGAAAAATGAAACAAAATGTGATGAAGCACGTGTTCACATCAATCATAAGTTGAAATCTAACTGTAGGAGAAACCACAAACTTTTCATGGGTACGAAAAGTCTCTCATAGCAGCAGAGAGAAAGAACATTTGAAATAACATGCTTAATGCTTTTCCACCCTGGGACACAATTTAAATGCTTTATTTGTGTTTCTTTGCCGTCTTATTTTCCTTCCAATGTCATGCACATGTAGCAGGTTTGAAATAAAACACTTCAGCTGATGTGCAATTTGTGCAGCCTCCCAGTCCTTTTTCAGCATGTCCTGTTTTACGAATTACCTCACGCTGCTCTCGGGGCGAAGAAGTACCTACATAATGGTTTTGTTTTTGTAGAAAAGCATTCCCTCTCTTCCCTTCTTCTGTGCAGTACCTACACATTATGTATAATATGTTTTGAGACTTCCTGCCAAGATAAACGTGGAGAGCTTTTTTCTCTACAATTTTCAAAACACCTTTATACTGTAATTATGACCTCTCTGCATGTAAGTGTGTTTTGCTCTTGTAAGCTTACCAATCATATAGTGTGTCTCTTCTCAGGTCTTATTTGTGGTTCAACATCGCCTGCGTTTAAGGCCTAGCGTGCACAAGAACAAGGCAAATGATTTGTTTCATTTTTCACTGTTCAACCTGCAAACCACAACACAGGAAGTCAGATTAGGTAGACAGGAAGGAGCTGCAGCATGACACGCTTTCTCGAGCAGCAGCACTGACTTCAGGACGTTTATTTGACGTTTGTCCTCGGCCAGGTTTCACTCCTTTTTAGATTCCTCCAACTCACACTTTCTCCTTCAGCTGCTTCCAGGACAATAATGGCGGTCGTCCACAAAGCATCCGTGTGGGCAGCGCTTCACATCCTTTGACGCCTACAGACCGCTTCACCAAGCCTGAGGTGAGTTATCTGAGCTTTTCTTATTGCACAATGCACTTTATAACTGTCCCTTTTGACTTCAGCTGTTTTATTATGTTTCCTTTCAACCACAGCCGTGAGCATCCAGGACAATGAATATGGGATAAAATAATTGCCTTACATTTAAAATACAATACATCTGACATATTTGCACCTCATGCGTCAACTGGCTTATTTTTACAGTGTGTTGCTTGAGGGTTTTTTCCCAGACTTGTCTCTTGTAAATGTTTGGTCTCCCTATCACACTAACAACACATTTCTACAGTAACCGTATGTCATTGAGTTGTTTATGGCACTGAGACAGTCTGTAAACTTGGCAACGGATGCGTGCACGCTGTCTGAAGTACATTTGAGTTTTTGAATCGGCTTCCTTTATGAAAAGAGACGTGATCAGCGATAAACCACACAGGAAGGCCTTTGACATTTCTCATTTTGTGTCAGTGAAACCTCAAAACATACTTTTCATTTATATATCTGCAGTTCATGACATGAAATCACACTTATAATCAACCCTATCAGTAGAACATTTACAAAATAAATGTAATACAATATGCTTTGCAGTGATGGAAATTAAACAGTTTAGAACATATATCATATAATGTAGGATGTGTGTTTTAGTTTTAACAGCCATCACCCTAACAGTAAATCCTTCTGACAGTAAAGAGTGCAATGTGTTAAAGAGCCCCTGTTATGCTTTTTGGGGGTTTCCCTTTCCTGTAGTGTGTTATAAAGTATTTTGTGCTTGTAAATGGTCTGCAAAGGCTAAAATCCCAAAGTTCCCTCCCTCCCCTTCCCGAAACGCTACCTTTGGATTCCTTTGTTTACTTACGTAACATAATGACATAATTATGTAACACTCGTGCTCCTACTGGAAAGCGCTCCAACACTTTGTACATGATAGACTAAGGGGCGGGACATCTCTAAGGGGTTGACCAATCACAAGGTGTCCCCCAAGGTTCAGTTCTCGGCCCCTCCTCTTCATCCTCTACCTGCTTCCCCTTGGTCACTTAATCCGCCGTCATGGACTTCAATTAATAATAATAATAATAGCTTCGATTTCTATAGCGCCTTTCAGGGGACCCAAGGTCGCTTCACAAGTAATAGTGCAAAGACAAACATAACAAAACAAAAGACAGACAAACAGAACAACAGATCGATTTAGGGGCCGAAAGCCTTGGCAAACAGATGGGACTTGAGGGCCCTTTTGAAGGCTTCAAGTGTGGGGATGTTGCGTATCTCCGCAGGGAGAGCGTTCCAGAGGGTGGGGGGCTGCCACACTGAAGGCTCTGTCCCCGTAGGTTCGCAGTTTGGTGCGGGGGGGTGGTAAGCAGGCCAGAGTCTGAGGACCGCAGGTTCCGGGGTGGGGCATGTGGGTGAAGGATGTCCGATAGGTACTGGGGAGCAAGGGCATGGAGGGATTTGTAGGTAAGGAGGAGGATTTTGTAGGATATGCGGGACTTGACCGGCAACCAGTGTAGGTGGATGAGGGTGGGAGTGATGTGCTGCCACGGTTTTGTGTGCGTGAGTACCCTAGCAGCACAGTTTTGGACATACTGGAGCCTGTCCAGGGTTTTGTTGGGAACCCCGAACAGGACACCATTGCAGTAGTCCAAGCGGGTGGTGACAAATGCATGAACTAGGGTTTCAGCAACCGACTCCGAGAGTGACGGTCGGAGTCTGGCAATTCCACTGCTTTGCCGACGAAATCCAGCTCCTCATCTCCACCAAGTCCATCTCCGCTGCTACCCACTCCATCCTGACAAACTGCATCACTGAAATAAAATCCTGACTCTAACTCAACTGCGATAAAACAGAAATAATCATCATTGGACCAAAAAAGCTCACCACATCTATCCATAACTTCACCCTCAACTTAGACGGTTTCCCAGTCCAAACCTCCCCTCACATCCGGAACCTAGGCATCATATTTGACCAAACCCTCTCCTTCAACAAATACATCAAACATCACCACACCAAGCCTTCTTCCACCTCAAAAACATCGCCCATCTACGTCCATCCCTCTCCCCCACTGCTGCAGAAACCCTCATCCACGCCTTCATCCCCTCCCGTCTGGACTATTGCAACAGCCTCCTCTATGGTTCACCAAAAAATCCTCAACAAACATCAATACATCCAGAACTCCGCCGCCAGTCAACTCACCCACACCCGAATCCGTGAACACATTACACCCGTCCTCATCAAGCTCCACTGGCTCCCCATCCCCCAGTGAATTCAGTACAAGATCCTCCTGATGACATACAAAGCCCTCCATAACCTGGCCCCATCCTACCTGACTGACCTCCTCCACAGACACACTCTCACTCACTCACTCCCTCCGCTCTGCTGCTGCCAACCTCCTGTCCCTCCCCACCCGGACCAACCTCAAGTCCTGGGGCGGCAGAGCCTTCTCCGTTGCTGCACCCACCCTCTGGAACTCACTACCCCAATCCATCAAAGACTCTTCCTCCCTCACCGCATTCAAAACATCACTCAAAACCCACCTGTTCAACACTGCATTCAACCACTGACCCCCCCCCCCCCCCCCTTATTTTCTGTTTTTGTATTTTTTTTCTTTGTTGTTTTTTACTCTGTCAAAGCGTCTTTGAGTTTCTAGAAAAGCGCTATACAAGTCTCATGTATTATTATTATTATTATTATTACAACAGAGCCGGCCAGCTAACCAATCAGAGCAGACTGGGCTCTGGTTTCAGACAGAGGGTGAAAAGAGGTGCTGCAGCACAGGCAGTATGAGGAAAATAAAGTGCTTTTTGGAGACATGTCACAGTAGAGGAACACCCATACTAATATGAAACCTGGAAATGAGCAGAAAAGGTTCACTTTAAACACCTTGGATCATGAATACATGTTGTTCTATAAGTGCTATTATTCAAGGCTGAATCATTTGAAAACCGTTTGACGTATTTCTCAGTTTGTTCGTTTTTTGTCGGAGTTTCTTATGAAAAGCGCTGCATTACATTTAGCACATGAGAAAAAGAGCCTTCAAAAGGGATCGTCGCTCTGGTATCAGCCATCTGGCGCCTCTTGTAAATTAATGATAGATTCTCAGTGCATATGCAGAAAGATGAATAGCCATCTGTTGATTAAATCTGTCTCTCTAAAATAGATGTTAACATTATCAGTGAAAGCTTTAGAGTAATAAGTCCATAAATCTAATTTTGTAAGTCATCTGTGTGGCTTTCAAAAGACATTCTGAATCAGTTTTGCATCACCCAATTGCAATATAAACTCACATTTGGAGCATTAATTAGACTGAGGACTGACATTTCAGGTTGAAATTAAGACTTGTTTTCAATATTAATTATACATTTTAGTCCATGAAAGGTAAGAAAATCATCCAAAATATCTATGAGAGTTTCACAAAGTCCTAGGTATTGTCTTTAATGTCTAGTTTGTTCAGTTTATAACCCAAAGATTT